ATGACTTTTGCTAGCCAATGGATAAATGTAGAGACTATCATGCTATGTCAAATAATCCAATCCTCAAAACCTTTGGGTCAAATGTTCTCTCTGATGTGCAGATTCTAACACACAGCAAGAGGGTGAAGAGGAAGAATAGAAGTTTATCAGATAGACAAAGGCGAATGAATGGAAGGGAGTGGGGATGGAAAAAGAAAGACAGTGGAATGAATCTGACAGAACTTTCCTATGTACATATGTAAGTACAACACCAGAGAAACTCYACATTATGTACAACCATAAGAATGGGATCCTAATTAAAATAAGATGTCCTTCATGTTTGAAATATTTTATAATGCACTCTGCTCTCATGTATATCTAAAAAGAACAAATTTTATAAAACGAAAAAATAGGGGACTGGTTTTCTGACTATAGGAACCGATATACATATTTACTGTATGCATTTCTCTCGTCTTACAGTGATCTTGTACTCTCCGCATGTTTCATTGAACATTATGGCCTGTGCTACGGGGAATTGAAGGAACAAGCGCTTGGAATCCACAGGAAGTAGAAGGCCAGAGAGATTGTGGCAGAAGAAGCTGATCACTTGTGGGTGGCAGGATGAGAGGGAACAAGAAGCACCTAGAACACACACAGCAGCAACACAGTCCTCAAGAATCACCAGAGTCATATGGATGGGACCCAAGTTAAGGAACCCTCAAGGCAAGGAGTCTATAGAAATTAGCCATGGATGGACGAAAGCAAATTCCACCAGGACATATATTTTTATTTCTTGTGTTCACTAACATATCTCTAACCTCTGAATAGTGTTTGGCACATAGGAATGCTTGATAAATATTTTCTAAAAGAAAGAATGAAATGAAAAGATATATGGCCTGCAGAGCCAACAGAACTCTCTACTCAGTCCTTTATAGAAAAGTGTCTGGCCCCTCCTTATAAATCACAGGTTTGAGAAACTTTGGGAGAACTGGTATCCAATCCAGGTTCCAGTATACTTAACTCAATGACTTTGGACAAGTCAACCTCTCTAAGTTTGGGTCAACTTCTCTAAGTTTGGGGTTCCTTATCTCTAACACATAGCTAGTAATACAAGTAAAATTTTTCATCTACAATTTATTTTTAAAACTTATGAACTTAAAAAAAAAAACACTGGAAAGGCAGAGAGAGATGGTGATTCTACACTAAAACTGTTTTTAGTGAATATTGTTGCCCAAACCTGAACTTGATTGGCATGGAATAATTTCTAATTTCATTTATCTTTCCATTGTGTGTGTGTTTATGTGTGTGTACGTGCATGCACGTATGTATTATTGCAGTTCTAAAATATAAAAGGCTCTGAAAGACAAAATCCCTCTGGCTCAAAAGATTTCATGTTAGAAGATATGGGGATAAGGGATTGGGATCTGTATTGGGGATCTATATATACTTTAACACAATCTGGGGCCAGACTGCCTGGGTGTGAATCCTGGGTCCTACTTTCTGAGTAAATGTGACAAGTTGCTTAAATTCTCTGTGATTCACTTTTCTCATTTGCTAAAAAGAGCATATTAGCAATACCTAGAAGGATTAAACAAATTAGTATTATGTAATTTCTCAACAGGATGCCAAATATAATGAATGCTAATTCATTCCTTTGGGATGCTTCATTCAAGCATCAATTAGTATTATTGTTGTATAGCTACTACTATTGTTAATGATATTTTAGGCAAATAATAACATAAATGCTTATTATAATCAGAGGCAGAGCTATCTTTCATCATGTTGCAGACAGAATGGTCACCTAGCAGTTGCTTGAATACATTCAAAGACAGGTCATCACTATGTAATATGATGACCAACATCATTATTAACTATATTTGCTAGAAAACTCTCTAAGTTATATTTTTATTGTTAACATCTAATAGATATCAAATATGTACTGGACACAAGGCACAGAACCGAGACCTTTAATGACTTTATTACTTTTCCATTCTTCCATTATTCAGTGAAGTTATCTTGGTTGCTGATGTCTTACTGATATGAACAATGAGGCCAAGTGTTAAAACACTCAGCCCACTTGGTGGCAAAGTGGAGATTAGATCCAATCAGACTTAAATCCAGGGTCCTTCCTGACTTATTCATTCTGCCCTTCAGGTTTAAATTAAGTGGAAAACTTCTGTTTCCTAATATCTTAGAATCCAAGCAGTCCCTCTGCCATTGCAAGAATATAGTGTTGCTCCTCATAACATCATCCTTCCCCAAACATTTCTGCTTCCAAGAAACTTTGCAAGTAGGTAGTCCACTTAGAAAAATAACTGCAATGGCCTCATGTTGGTTTTGACTCAATATTTATTAATGTAGCCTTTTGTTTGCCTTTAAAAGAAAAAGCATTGTACCTACATGCATACCTATAACCATTATGACTAATTTCCCAAATTATAATCAACATTTATCATAATTACTGGTATTTTACACAAACATTATAACAGCAGTGCTATGCATATTCTCACATTATTAACATCAGACTGAATTTACAGGTAAAATTGGATAAAAGTGTTATAGAAAATCAATGGTATATTTCTGAAGCATAAACTATTTCAAGTAATGAAATAACTAGTAGTTTTTGCCCTTCTCAACCTCTGTAAACTGGAAGCTTTGACTTCCCTATTAAAGTTAACTAAGGCTATTATTAGAATTAATCTTATGCACAAAGTACAGTAAACATTAATAGGATATTATTAGCTTAGTCTTGACTTTGTAATTCCAGTTTCTCTCAGAAAAATAGTCACATGGTTAGATAAAGATGTCTGTGTCTACTTACAGTCAAAATGAGGCCAATTTGGGGGATAAATGTGGTGGAGACTGAGGGCAGGTAGAGGTTACACACAGGCCAAATTTCTAGTGACAGATATGGCAACAGGAGGCAGATGATGGAATGGGACCAGCAAGGAGATGGCAGACTAAGCTGTCATCAGTGGATGAAATGTTACAGGGGATTGGCACTTAGGACATTCTCACACTGTCCACTCTTCCTCCACTAACTGCTGCTCCCATGTCCATGCTGACCCATCCTCCTGTCTTAACTTCTTAGCTTACACCTCTAGCCCCCGCCAGCTTCTTCTTTTATCAGTGGTGTTTCTTGGTCAAATGATGCTATTTGGGCCCACAGTCTTCAAGGAGTATGTGTGAGGAGATGCTTTGATGGCCCTGACAGTTCTCCCCCTAGACCACTGATGGATATCCCAGGAGACTCATTTATTTATTTATTTTTTTTACTTTCTTTCTTTTCATTTCTTTTTTTTTTTTTTGACACCTTAATAGTTCTTATATCCGAAGAGCTTTCCAAATTAAGTTTACTTCTCCTAAACATGACAGATCTTTTTGTCTAGTGATTTCATTTTAATATCAATCGATTGTGTCCACTCCTGATCCTCAATGCCTTAAACTGCAGTTCGTCCTTTCACCTCTTCTGTGTGGAATCTTGGAATGAAAATGCTCTGATACGTGAACACTCCTGCTGCCGTTTCCTTAGCAGTGCCTCATCTCCTGCAAGACAGTGCAACCTCCTTGCAGCATCCTGCCTAAGACTTGTCAGGCCCTGCCTGCACCTCCTTCCACACTTTTCCTCTGGCTCTCTCATTTGTATTCTGTCTTCCTCATGATTTGCAAATGCTTTCTCTTCCTTCAAGCCTGATGTACTCTGTTGGACCTCAGCCACCTGCTCCACAGCTTCCCTCCATCTTTGTTCTCTTGACCAGCTTCTGCTGTTTCTTTGAGACTTCGTTCATTGATCTGTCTGGGCAGGCTCTGCCACTAGTATCTTCTCCTTGCTGGTCCCATTCCATCATCAGCTTCCTGTTGCCAATAGCTGTCACTAGAAATTCGGCCTGTGTGGAACCTGCATCCTCCCTCATTGTCCACCACATTTATCCCCCAAATTGCCTCATTTTTACTGTAAATAGACACAGACATTTTGATCTAACCATCTAACTATTTTTTCCTGAGAGAAACTGAAATTACAAAGTTAAAAATGGATGTCTACTGCCCAGTGACCAAGCACAGATATTCAGAACTCAAGCAAATGGATGAGATACATATTCTACTCATAACCCAAATGAAAGTCTTCACAGGTGGTCAGAGTTAATATTTAGTTTATTCTCCTATCACTAGATGTAAGTATATTACTTTTTTGATCTGCTATGTTCCACAGGAAGAATATGAATTATCTCATCTCTCTGTATAGTGACTACACATCTTTATCTAAATATCTATATATCTATAGGTATCATCTATATCTAAATATCTAAATGCCTCCATACATATAAATATATCTACAAATATCTATACATCTAAATATATATATTTATAAATATGTAAGCATCTATTAATATATCTATAAATATTCCTATAGATATATTTATAGATATGTATATATAGACATAATATATATATATATGAATATATAGATAGAATATTCACTTAGCATATATATTCACATATGCAAATTTTCCTGGATGGTCATATACACTATTTCATGAACAAAATTACATACTTTCTCTATAGGTCACTTCAAATTTGTTACTAGAAAGGAAATTTATTTATAATCTTGTCAGTGTGGTTGAATATAACATTTTTCTGTATGTATTTTCTGTTCCTCTAACATGCCTTCCACGGCAGGGTTTTGACTTTATCATCTTTGTATTTCCAGGGCAGACAAAAGTAACTGGACCTGAGTACCCCCCAGTAAATGTTAGTTAAATCACTTGCCTTCTGTTCTCATGCAATTGAGCAAAGCCTTATATAAACTGGAAAGTAAGCTAAATATGGGTTGTAATTTGTAAGCCTTTTGAAAGATAAGGACAGCTTCTTAGCAATTCAATGAGAGAAACGAGATGTTCTAGGGGTTTTCCCCTCTGCTCAAAAATGATCAAATCACCAAATTCAAGTTTTCCTACTGAAAAGACTGAAATACCTTTCAGGATGTCTTAGGTCAAACAATGTAAAAAGAGTCTACAGCTTACCTCAAAACTCACAGCTCCATTGTGGTCCGTATCGAATGCATTGAACAGAAAATGTGCATACGTTGTAGAGTCTGAAATATAGAAAGGGAACACCATTAGGTCAGTGTTTAGTTGCCACAGAAGACTTGGCTAGAAGGTCCAAGCCTCCCTGTACTCAGGACAATCAATCCCCTCTTCCATAGTTCATGTTTTCTTCCCAGCTGTCTCCTCTCTCTTGATAGAGGACTGAAACTTGAGATTCATGGATTGAACCCCATACAGAAGCCATAGGTGACAGATGTTCTCTGTGAGCCTCTTGCTGGAAATTCTCTGATCCTAACATGTGTCTGAATAATGGTGTCACTGGGGCTGTGAAGATAAAGAAGGGTACATTGAGGCATTGCTTTGTGCATGGCTGAGACTCTCTCTATAAGTAAAGTCACAAGAATACAAGTAAGGTGATAGTGGTGAATTGCTATTACTTGTCATTAATCGTACTTTCCTCGTGTTTACAACTCAGGTAAAGGTATTCTGAAGACTCAGGGAGGTTGAAAAACTTGCTCAAAGTCACACCATCAAAAAGTAAGTTGGCAGCTTGGAGGCTCTGAGGATGGCCTGCCGCCTGCAAGATTGGCTGATGAACTGGGGACAATGGTGACTTGGAAGTTCTGTGGCCAAGTTGGAAGTTTATTGGAGGTGCCCAAGATGTCCTGTTGCCTGCAGCTACATTCCACGGGGAGCCCCTACTCCATCGGAGTCCTCGGTGGCATTTGAGGCTCTGGGTAATGATGGACAATATGGACAGGTTGGTAACTGTCATGACTCAGGACACCAAGGACACGGAATCCCTGTAAAACCCAGTTCTTCCTCTGTGTTTTTCCTCCCTCCTTTGTCTCCCGTTACTGCTTTGTTTCTGTAATCTCTATTTTTTTTTCATTTTGAAAGTTTATTTTTCTTTATTGTTTTCTTTTCTTAGTGTCAGCTTTCATTTTAAGTGCTTTTGTGCTTGACCCTTGATCAAATTTACATGATTAGTTTAAATGTTTCTTCTCATGGGTTTTAGCCTTTTGTCTTAACCTTTGTTATCTTTTTAAAAAAATCTAACCTTTCAGCTCATTGGCTCAAGCCTTATATCTTCTGTTTAAAATCGCACTTTTATTTTATGACTTTTAGCTTTAATTCTTACTGGTATTTAATCTAACTTCTATTCACTTTTTACTTTATGAATTGTTTTTTTGAAGGCTGTCAAGAACTAAGTCAGAGTAGAATGAGTAGAGAATTGTCTTTCCCAAATCAAAGATAGGACAGACAACCCAGTTTTTTGGGGGAGCGCCTTGCTCTTGCCCAGTCAAAGTGAACAGCATCATGGCCCTTCTTGAAACATGTTTACACCTGTCAGAAAAAATCCAGACTCTTCCTATGGTCTCAGGGACCATGGCCTACTTAGGGGTTGTTTTTCCTGACTGCTTCACCTCAGTCAACTCTACACATTTCATACAGTCAACTCTACACTCAGTATCTCAGAATGATGGTGACGTCTTCTCTCATCTCTGAACATTAAATATAATACGAGGAATCATGAATTATTAACATTGATTTCAGTGAACTAATCAGGCACCATAATTGGATCTAAATAATATGTGAAACCATTATGWCTAGAGTATATGTCCATCTAGTATTGATTGATTGCAGGAAGAGATTTTTTTGTTGTTGTTTTTTTGTATGTGGGACCAAGGGTTTAATTGCATTCTACTTAGAGCTATTGTTGGGAAGTTTCACTGCAGAGTAATCAAGAATTGGCAACCTGTTCTTCTTTGCAAAGTTTTCTGCTCTCAATAGTACTCTTTCACAGACTTCTTAAACTATTTAGTGCCCTCTGGAGATGTGAGTTGATAGGCCGTATGTTAAATTTATTTTAGGGGAGAGGGAAAAAAAAAAGAAGCGATTTTGCATATTTTATAACGGGCCTCATTAAGCAAGTCTCTTGTTACCCTGTTTTTACAATCAAGGTAAACATCTTTACCCCAGCTAGCAGAACTCACCATGAATAATGGCTCAGAACAGATGATGCTTGCAATTTTTTTAAACTTAAAAAGCAAGAGAATATAGGCATATGATAATTACTATTCTTCTCAATGTGATTTCTCTAGTTTTAATCTTGATGAATGGCAATGATGCTTTCAAGGTTTACACTAATATGTTACAGAGGACTTTTTGTTCTTGTCAATGGACTTTTGCAATTCTCCTTGAAGTTAAGCCTGATTTACATCCTAGATTTATCCTGTAGATGGCTTTTGTTAATAGTGTAGTGAAGTCAGACTACCTGAATTTTAATCTCAGCTTTACTAGGGATTCACTCTGTGATCTTGGGCAAGCCAACATCTCTCTGAATCAGTGTCCTCCTCTTCAACAAAGAGGAGTATACTGTTATTAGTATACTGTTATATACTAATAACAGTATATATTTCATAGATATGTCATGAAGTTTAAAGGAGATAATAAATGTGCATCATTTGGAGTAGTTCTAGGTATCTATTAAATAGTAGAAAATATTAGCTATTATTATTCTTTCATGAACAAGCCACTCTTATTTAATTGTCTTTACAAGTGTGGTCAAATTTCTTTCAACCTTTTTTCACTTAGAACACTTCCTATTTTTGTGAAGCCTCTGTTTTGCACCTAGGTGACTAGAGTTCTAATCTGATGCAATTTCTCGCTCAATAAAGGCCAGTAAAAAATAAATGAGCCTTCTGATGGAGTCTGGGTTCCCCCCCCCCCCCCGCAAGTAGTGAAAATGTTTAAAGAAAGGTAGTGAGGCTACTAGCTTTGATTGAGCAAGAGGGAGGAGCCTGGCAGGGAGGTGGATGTATCGAAAAGACCGACTGTCCACAGGAGCTTGTGCACCTTGGCTTCACCTTACTCTGTTCTTTCCAGGCACACGGTAAATGGTAAACTATTTTTAACCGGATGAATAACTGGTGTCCTGAATTCTAGGTTCCAGTGCAGTTGAAGGTTTAAAAGACAGCAATGATCTCCCTTCTCCCCACATGTCTTGATGGTCTTTTTTGTTCACACCCTCCTTATATCACAAAAATAATCACTGAAATGGACATGCTGAGATTGTCTCTGACTCTTATGATTGTACTGGGGAGATTAAAAGTATATGTCTAAAATTTATAGTTGGGAAACAAAATTAATAGACTCTTAGGGTAGGATGAGATCTTAAGATGCCATTTATCAAGTTATCTACTTTTAACAAAAGTGGAAAATAGGTGCAGGTACTYTTAGTGACTTAAGAAGGTCAGCTAGTTTCTAAATAGTAAAGTTGGTAATGAAATGTCTTCATTTCATTACCAATTCTGAAGTAAAGAACACTAGAGTAGGGGGAAAAAAAACAGAAAAATTTCTTTGGTCTGATTTCCACATTTTCTAGAAGAATGACTTGAGGCCCAGAAAAAATAAACTACTTTGTATTCACATTATCTCAGTGTTGTATATATCACATTTTCTTAATCCATTCATCTATTGATGGGCATCTGGGTTGTTTCCATAATTTTACTGTTTTGAATTGTGCTGCTATAAACATTGAAGTGGCTACATTGCTATAGTATGTGGATTTTAGATGTTTTTGGAAAAATATCAAGGAGTGGGACAGGGGTCATATGATGGTTCCATTCCTCATTTTCTGAGGAAACTTTAAAACTAATTATTCTTATTGTTTTGGCACAAGGGATTGAAGCCAGGAGTGCTTAACCACTGAGCTACATCCCCAATCCTTTTTACATTTTATTCTAAGACAGGGTCTCTCTAAGTTGCTGAGGCTGGCTTTGAACTTGTAATCCTCTAGCCTCAGCCTCATGAGCTGCTGGGATTACAGATGTGAACCACCGTGCCTGGCTCACATCTAATTCTTGAATGATGATCATGTCTCTGGTTTGTGGATTGAAATAATTTTGGATGATTTTTCTCACACTAAACCCTTGCTCCTATATGAATTCAAGTACAAGGTACAAAATTAGTTTAATGCATTTAAGTATACAATTCATGGAATTATTACTATGGTAAGGCAGGTTATTATGCATAAATAGTAGCTTCTGTCAATAAGTCCTCTAGGACTGGAGGTGCAGTTCAGTGACACAGCACATATTTAGTCTAGCAAGGATTCAGCCTCCAGCACATACAACACACAATTGTCCTCCATAAATCACTCTAAAAAATTGCTAGAGATATTGTCTTAGAGTAAGGAAGATATTCAGTGAGTGGAGTTTTCTTTTAAATTTATTTTCATAGCACTCATCTAAGTTCAAGTGCCTTGAGTCCTTTGTACATAGCACTGCTCAATGAATATTTCCTGACATGTTCCTCTGACTTGAGCTCATTTATTCATTCATTTAATAGCTATTAATAAGGAACCAGTATAGCTAAAGTAAGTGCAAATTTCCTACAACATAAGCAAGAATAGTCAGAAACTCCAATTTTCATGGGATTTTGAAATGTATCTTGAGCCAAGAGTTTGTACACTGAAGCTTCTGTTATATGTGATGGTGGAAAACTAACCACACAGGCAATAATGCCCTCAAGTCTTTCCCTATTGTTTGCTTTCTAGTAGGCTTTCTATAACACTTCTAGAAAGTGTTCAATACAGTTATGCCAACATCCAGAACACCAAGCAAGCTATGCTTGGTAAACTGTCTCACTAAGCCTTAGAGAGAGCTTAAAGCTAGACACAGTACAGATGGACACAATACAGATTGCATGGAGGACTCTGTACAAAAGATAAAGCATTTTTGTCATGGAGGAAGTATAGAGATGTTGGGGTTTACCCACACATCGGTGTTACTGTTCATAATGCCATAAACCTGTTGCTTTCAGACCACCAACCTGAATAAACAATGGCCCCATGGAAGTATGAAGATGGTGTGACATGAATTTGCCTGCCATTCAAGATCGTGTTCTTCATTAGGACATGTTTCCTGTGCTAGCTAGCATCAGTGTAAGATAAAATTTTTAAAATTAATATCATGCATACAAATTGTAAGTCATTATTCTTTAAGATATTTCATTCCTGTCAAAGATACCTAGTACTCTTAGATTTATGCATTCAATTAACATAAATAATCAAAGAATTTTTAAGAGAACAAAAGTGATTTTCTGTAAATCCCTTTGGATTTTATAACAAGAATCCTTTGCAAAGTACATGTTCGCTGCTTCGGTAGATATTCTCTTATGTGGAAATGTTGTCTTTCAAAGAAAGATAAAATTTTAATGTGGAACCATATCCAATTTGTAGCATGTAATAACCTTTTTTGAAATAATCAAAAAGTAACTAAGATTTCCTTTTTTTTTTTTTGTAGGAGCTTTGATAGCAATACCTACCAATATGTTGGCAGACAGCTAATAAAAATGATTTTATTAAAAAAATTCATGTTTTAAATAATTTATAAATAGATGGCAGCAGCGTCACGATTGATATGTGAGTAGAAGGCAAGGAGGCCAGTGTGGCTGAATTGGGATGAGTCAAGGGGGGAGATGGGAAAGACTAAGGCGCAAGAGATCAATGATCATGATTCAGGTTATTGCCTATGCTCTGAAAGGAGGGAAGATTTTGAGCAGAGCAGTGACATGATCTGACCTGCCATGTAACGGGGTGATTCTGGCTCATTTTGAGCACTGACCATTGTTGTGGGAAGAGGTGTCAGAACCTAGGAGAATATTTCAGAGACCACTGAAGTTAATTTGGCAGGAGATGAGGGTGACTCCATGGTAAACAGCAATTTTAAAAGGTGATAGCAAAGTTAATGGCAAAGTCTAGTTTGGGCACACAGAGAGAAGCAATGGTTGCCTTTATGTTGAGTAAAGGTCAAATAAAGGACCAGACAGTTCCCTTCCTTCTAAGGGTGAAGTCTTCTCCCTAGATTCCTGATCCTGTCTCATTCTACCCTATGCCATTATATCCCATCAAGATTTTAATTCTACTTATTATCAACCTCCTGTTGTAAGCTGTTAGCACATGGCTCTTTATAAGCTCCTTCTCTGTATATAAACAAGTTCCATCCTTCCCTATATTAAAAAAAATAAATTCTTCCACCTACGTCTGCCATGGCTGACATGGCTGTCATTTACTTCCTCCTCATCACCTCACTCTCCCAGCCAAGTTTCCTGTAAGTGCTGTCTCTACCCCTTGTCTCTATTTTCTCCCTTCTCATTTATCCTTTTGCCTTCTTCAGTGTGGCTTCTGTCTGTGCCCCACCTAACTTTCTTGTTCAAGCTGCCTTGATCTTACAAACAATGACCTCCCTGTTGCCATGTCCCAAGAATACTTCCCAATCTTCACCCCCCCACACCTCTTGGCTACAGAGTTTAATGTCTCTATTCTCTTAATTTCTGAACTACCAATCTTTTTGGGACTTATTGTCATTTTTTTGGCTGTTTGTTCTCTGTCTCCTTCACAGTTTCCTTTTCTTTCTCCAGGTCTTAACATGTGCTCTGGGCTTCAAGGCTGACTCCCTGCTTTCTATACTTCTCCCAGTCACCTCACCCATATCATGGCCACATCATTAGCCACCACTTCATGGTTAATAATTCCCAGATCTCCATCTCTTTCAATAGAACCTCCGGTTTCTACCAGATCCTTGTCGATAGTAAATCCCCACAGATACCACAAGTGTAATGTGCCCAAAATTGTAATCATCTACTCCTTCTGTAACTTGTTACCTGGTGCCCAGGACAGAATTCTGAAAGTTATCACAAACTCTTCTCTTCATCTCTTTCTACCATAAAAAGTCAATCAATGAAYAGGCTCTGCCAGTTTAAATAATTTAAATGTCTGTGCTCTTTCCCCACTTCCCAATCCTACTGTGTGTGTCCTGGTTAAAGACCTTGCTTTGCATCCTGTAATAAATTCCCTAATGCTCTCCTTGTCTGTGATGTTGCTTACGTCACATCAATCCTCCACAGAGCTATCATGGAATGTATCTAAAACAAATTTTGACCCTAGCACCTCTGACTTCAACCCATCAGTGCCTTTGCATCACCTCAAGGGAAATCTTCCTGTTTCTTATTATGGAATCCATAACTATTACATTTCATCTCAAATCCACACCCCAGTTCTGTCAGTTTCCTAAAGATTTGTACCTTTGTTTTGAGGCTGTGCCCCTTATCTTTCTCTACTTTTGCCTAGAGCCTCCCTGCTACCTTTTGAAGCTGGAAGACATCACACTGTGCTAGGAAACTGCTCCTGAAAGGTAAGATGAGGAAACGACAGATAGATACCTTGGAAATGGAGTGATCTTTTTGTACCTCAGTGTCCTTATAAATAAAAATGGTTTGTTGGATGATGAGGGTAAGGCATGCCAGAGCCAGGAATATATTCAATACTTAAAAATGGCATCAATTTCAGCCCACGTTCAAGGCACCTGGACAACCTCTCTCTACTTCCTCTCTGTCCTTCCTGGGATCTCATCCCGCCTACACTAAGCTCCCATTCTACTATTTATTATCTCCATCTTTACCTTGATACTTTACATGGACATTGTCCTTCTGCTCCTGTAGACTACTGTCTAACACACTTTGGGGCAGGTACCACATCTGATTCCTCCCATTCCTCTTACATTAGTAGTACCTCACACATGGCTGAGCGTACAGTAGGCTGGGTGATATGATGGGCATCTGTTAGGTAACTGAAGAAGAACTGTCAGATCCAACGGCAAACAATCTCTTCACTCATCTCTAGCGGGCATGACATCATTATACCATCCTCACATTTTCTTTCCAATTAAAATATTAACTTTCTCAGATGGGGAGGAGGTCATAGTTAAGTATTACTGAAAGGAAAAAGGGACAGAAAAGCGCACCTGAGTTGGGCACAGTGGTGCACGCCTATGATCTCAATGACTTGGGAGGCCAAGATGGGAGAATTGCAAGTTTGAGGCCAGCCTCAGCAACTAAGAAAGGCCCTAAGTAACTTAGTGAGACTCTGTCTCAAAATAAAACAAAAAGATCTGGGGATGTGACTTAGTGATTATGATCCTCTGAGTTTAATCCACAGTACCAAAAAAAAAAAAAGTCCACAGAAAAATCTAGGTTATAGCCCAGGTCTGCCACTGAGTAGCTGTGTGAGTCTGAGCAAACTGTTTGAATTCTCTAAGCCCCAGACATAATGTCTGTAAACTGAGGATAATTACATTTGCCCTAACTTTGTTAAGAAATCAAATGAGAACTATAATGCAATTTTAAAAGCCTTGTGTCATTTTGAGGACCCCTAAAAGCATCATATATTTGTGAGCCATAGTACTACAGGCACACAGTAAAACTTGGGTTAAACTGAAAAGTAACCTCTGAGATATTTGATAATTTGTAAGTAGCTCATTTCTATGATACCAGAAATTGTATGTACTTGTATGCTATGTATTAATTATTTTACATAAAGATTAAAAATGTAGAGTCACGCCATGAAAGATTAAACCAACTCAAGATTGCAAACATAATTCTAACTGTGAGAGTGTGTTAACAAGTACTTACCTCCCTGTGGAAAGAACTGCGAGTAAATCTCTTTGAAGGTTTCTTCATTAACAACACCACTGGGGCATTCCTAGAGAAAGTGGCAGAGAAGCGATATGAGCAAAGTGTTCATCAAACTGATTTTTTTGCACATTTTAAAACAGAACTGTCTGCCGTGCAAAACTGCACCAGGAAAGGAAACCATCCATCCATTACAATCAAGATAATAAAAAGCATGCTGTAAACTTCTCCTTGTTCCAGTATTCACAGAATAAAAAACAATATTGCAAATGTATGTATCTTTGAGTATTGAGCATCAAAGCAGGTCTGACCTATTCAAAACCACTCCTTTCTCTTAAGAACAATTGTATTTATTATCACTAACGTAAGAAGTAATACATTGTTTTTCATACCACCAACATACTGCAAAGTGCTTATGATATGGACTTTGCTGGATCTTGGTTCTGTATCCTCTTGAGATTATCTGAACCCACCTAATCTTGAGTTCAAATAATAAAATTGAGACTCTGGGTCTAAGGTGGCTCAAAAATCTTCAAGTAGGAATAGTTAGTGATTGTTTGCCAGTACACAATGAGATGCTCTTGCAAAAAAGTGACCTTCAATCAGATGGCCTCCAACTATTTTTGAACATTTAGAGGCCAGTTAATTATCTTATTTGTGTGGTTCAAAGGTCATACCTTTGATGTGCAAACAATTTTAACTGATAGTTTCAATATGAATTTGTCCTTACAGAGCTTGTCAATATGTTTTTCTCTCATTGGATCATTATAACAAATTCATGACTTAGGTAGCTAAAAGACAAAATGAAAGCCAGCTTGGAAATTGGTTACTAGGCAAGAGAGTGAGGAAGCATCAAGGTAAACTTGGGACTTCCCAGGTTCCTACAAGGTTTTATATTAGATGACTCCAAGGACCTAGAGTGTTGGAGCAAAGAAAAGACAACTGGATACAAATGAGCTAAATCGCCAGCAAGCAAACCAAACAGGAGGGTTAATTTTATGTACTCACATCTCTGAGCCTCAGGGCCTAAGTATTTGGCCAAGCATTATTTTGGACGATGCTGTGGTGTTTATGGGTGAGATCTGCATTTAAGTATGTGGATGTAGTAAAGCAAATTGTCCTTAGTAAAGTTGGTGGGACTCTTAGTTACTTGAGGGCCTGAACAGAGTATAGAATGACTTCCTAGAGCAAGAAGGAATTCTCCTGCAGACAGCCTTCAGACTTCATCTGCAATAGGCCCCCTGTCTGGCTCACCAGCAGGTTATCTTTGGATTTTCATCGCAAGTCCTTCCTGACTCTCCAGCCTGCTGGCCTCCTCCAGCAGATTTTGGACTGGCCAAGCCTCTATAATATGTGAGTCAATTCCTTAAAAATTCTCTCTCCATGTATATATATACAAAAATCAACTATTTATTTTTCTCTACTGAACCATGAATAAACATCAATAAATTGATAATTAACAGCTACATCTTTCAAAAGGAAAAGAGTAGTATGTATACAGCTAATGACTCAAAAGGTTTAACCGAGTAACTCCATCTAGTTGACAACAACAGAACAATTATAAGAGCAAATAAACACCTGTAGCTGGACCCTCTCACACATGGAAATTGAGATTTATTGGCTGTTTATCTCTAAGCCATCTGCTTGGGAGGGCAGCGAGGGGGAAGCAAATACAAAGCTCTCTGACATCAGGTGGTAAATCTGTGCAAAGTCAGAGCTGGAAAAGTGACTTAGAGGTACAGTGATGCTGGCAAACGTGAGGAGGGGAAGTACAGTGACACCCACACTCAGTCACCTTTGGACTTGAGAAGCACTGGATAGATATGCCTAATCATGTGAAATGACATTCGAGAGTGGCTGTCGTGTATGTGTTTGTTTTATGTTTATGTCTGTGTCAGATGAACTTGTTTTTCTCATAAAGAAAGCATGCAGCCAAATCTCAGGATGGTAAGTCCCACCAGGTATATTTCTCTTTATCCATCTTGCAACTCATCTCACTGATTTTCATTTCTAGAAAATTCATATTGTGTACCTATGGTTCTAGGAAATCTTCTAAAGCTCGGGCTGCAGGAATATACAAGGCAAAGTTTCTACCCCTATAGAGCCTGTATCCAAATGGAAGAATAAAGAGTCCATTCAGGCTCCTACAAACAATAGACTAAACAAACAAATTAAAAATAAGGGTGGCTTGGGGCTGGGGATGTGGCTCAAGCGGTAGCGCGCTCGCCTGGCATGCGTGCGGCCCGGGTTTGATCCTCAGCACCACATACCAACAAAGATGTTGTGTCCTCCGAAAACTAAAAAATAAATATTAAAAATTCTCTCTCTCTCTCTCCCTCTCTCTTAAAAAAAAATAAGGGTGGCTTGTAAACAATAGAAATTGATTTCTTGCTGTTCTGAAAGTTCAAGATCTCAGATCATCAGATTCAGTGTCTGGTGAGGGGGGGGTCCTGTTGATTGCTCACAGGTTGTGCTCTGCAGCTGTGTTCTGTGATGGAACGAGTGAGGGGATCTCTTGGTATTTTATACAAGAGCTCTAGTCCCCATGGTGAGGGCTCTGTCCGCATGATCTAATGGTCTCCCCAAATCCCCACCTCCTAATGCCATGGCTTTGGGGTTAGAACTTCAAATCTGAATTCTAGGCTACGGAAAAAATACATTTTTCTACTTTTTGGGTGAGAAAAATTGAGCAAAGTCTGTCTATAAGACCCTGGTAATTTACAAGAAGACACCATTTGTACCATCTTGTAAATTTTTCTTTTTTCCTCACCTTGTTGTGATCTCTCCACAAAAATGGTCACTCCTCCTCTCCACTAAGAATGAAATTGGCCAAGCTGCACAGACAGTATAGTGTAAACAACCTGGCTATATTAGTTAGGCTAACTCTTGCTGCTATAACAAACAGGTCTCTAAACATATAATACATTTTTTAAAAAAATGTAGTGCAGTTCTTGCTTACATAAGAGTCTTGAGTGAATGTAAAAAGGAGTTGATAGCTCTTTTCCTCAGAGCTACTTAGGGATGGTGGCTAATGAAGACTTGGCCATCTTCAACATGTGGCTTCTGAAGTTTCTGTCATTGTCTCATCCAAAAGGAAAAAAAGACCCTTGAGGAGGACACATGAGAGGTTCTTATGAGCCAGGTCATAAAGTGGTACACATCATTTCCATGTTCATTTTGCTGGTCAGAAATCTTCTAATATGTTCACTCCAAACCATAAGAGAACTTTTATGAGTTGAGAAAGATTAGAACACAAATTTTATGAAGAATTAGGAATGTCTGCCCTAGTGACATATTTGAAAGATCCTAGTATACTTCTGCTATGAAATAGTTCTACCATAGATGTTTTATGTGCCCATTAACAAATCATTTAGCAGCATAAATTGTCTCCATTTCATTGATTTCATTTTTAAAGGCTAATACTTGTAAGTAAACAAGTACAAAGAAGTCTAAACATTGGAGTATGAATTTGCTCATTAGGGCTTACCTAAGAGGAAGAATCCAGGATTAGGGAAAACCTCATTCGTCCATCTTTTGAGAAGTTGTTAATAACCTTCTGCAGGCCCTTGTGGATTCTATATTATATTTTCTAATGACATGTTGTGTGGTTGTTATTAATAAATGATTATTCAATAAAAATATGTTCATTGTGAAAAATAATCAACCATAAACCAAATATTGTAATAACATTTTTGTGATTTTCCAAAGCATATATTAATAATATACTCTACAAATAAAATTTAGATAATACAAAAGCATAACACTTTTATCTTATAATATTTTTAACTTTAAAAAAAAATACTCTGAACATTTTCCCTGTCGTGATTTTTAATGGCTGTGTAATGATGCATTCATGGAACTTGCCACATTGCTGCATACTGAAGCGATTTCAGAATTTGGGGAGCAACATAGGAATAATGATGTAATTAATATTCAGGGCGTATATCTGTGACTGCACCTGTGGTTTTTTCTTTACAGCTAATCCCAGAGGAGAATCACAGGACCAAAGGGTTTAAACCACTTAAAGCTTTTCATATGCGCAGTCACATTGCTTTCCAAAAGGCTGTACCATGCTGTGCTGCCACCACCACTAGTTTATGAGGAAGTCTCCTCACTGGAGGGGCTGCTGGCCAGAATCACATGGGGATTTGACATGCACAGAGTTGCATGAGCAAACAGCAACAATGCCCTTCCCTCATGGATCTAATTGTCTTTCTGAAAATTACCAGAGGACATCAAGGGATTTGTACAGATCTCTCCAAGGGATAAAGCAATTTGCCTTGTTTTTCATGCAGACAAGGATGCTCTGATGGCAATCAGCTGGACCACATTAGCACGACAACAACAGTTTGCTGAGCACAAAATAAACAACTCAATGCTTTCCTGTGCATGCTCTTAACATTTTCACCCAACCTGAAAGGGGGGAATTATTTTTCGATAAGGAAAATGAACAGAGATATGAAGTTGCTTGACTCATGGTTCTTGACAGAGTCATTTATTTGCTTGTTCTTTCGACAAATAGTTAGCGAGTGCTTTTTATGTGTCAATAAGTAGTCCATGTGCCTGCTACCATTCTGAGCAGTGAGACTATGCAAGAGTGAGTCAGAAACGGTCCCTTGTTTGCTTTTGTGGTACATGAAGTTCACTGGAATCCAACTCATACCTCCCTGACTCTCTTAATTGCAATGCCCTCCTGTCTTTTGCAATGACATCATTTTCCTCTAGCAGGATTGAAAACATGGTCTCCCGTAGGTCATCTGTGGAAATATTCCTTTTGGGAAGGTAGTCAACAGAGCTCCTGTTTTGTCCATGGTGGAGAGAATCACACACAAGAGGAAGCCATTTCACTCAAAACTAGAGGCACTGATTACACACACACACACACACACACACACACACACACATAGTGAGTTGTGGTTTAAGGAAAAATGCTTTGATTTCTCTTTCAGAGATTGTGGCCTTTAGTCTGAGGAGGACTGCCCCATCTTCCTCTTCACCATGTGTACTGTCTGCCCTAGTGAATGGCTGAACAGTGGAGTGCTGTGGCAAAAATTCCGGTTTAAGGGCCCG